GATTAACCCACGCTCAGAGAATTACTTCATGGAATTTATCACGAGTAATTATGAGACGATAATATCTTATAATCTTAAAACGGAGATATATGAGTTGTGGTTTACAAATCAGTTGTGCATTGATAATATGTAAACGCATTAGTAACTTGTTGTTAAAAAACATATTGCTGTGCATAATTTGATGAGTAGATGGTACATACATATGAGTCAAAGTTTATATGTTCATTTTGCCCTAACGGGAAAAACGATATCTTTGGGCCCCTCAGTGATTTGGTGTTGACTTATAGTGTTGAGCCCGACCATGACTAAATTGACGTGTTCGATTAGTAGTTCTTAGCCATTACAAATCAGAAAGCGGGAATCAAAGTGTTGGACAATGAGATTGATTATGTTCCATGTCTCATATCCGAATGATATATTGTAGAACATGGGATTATATGATCACTTATCATAGGACACATATCTGACTGGGTCAGAGTTCGACAACGACTTTGGAAGCTACAATTTGCTGATTAGTTTAGAAGTTATACTAGCAGTTATAGTTACAGACTTTTCCAAGTGGGAGACTGTTGGATTAGGTGTCTAAGCCCATAACTATAATTGGTATAAACTTGAATTGATAGCAACACAGTCCTTTTAGGTTGCCCTCAAACCTAGCAATTGGACATGATGATTTTTGGAGAGGGAGGTTAATTTATTATTTGATTGATAAATTGAAATAAATAGTTTATTAATATATTATGTAAATAGTATATTAATTAGAAATAGTAATATTTAATTAAAAATTAATCAGAAATTAATTGAAATTAATTTTGGGATTAATAAAATTAATTAAAAGTGCATGGACTAAAAATGCAATTATTAAATAGTTGAGCAAAAGGCTCCAGAACCTTTCATCAAGGGATGGCCGATTTTAAAGGTCATTTGGGAGTCTAGAATTATCCTTGGAGGATAATTAGGAAGCTGAATAATTACAAAACAAATATAATATTATTATATTGGTTTTAGGGTTATCCAGGTTTCCTTATTGCCCTATATAAAGGCCCTTAGACCTTCATATTTTCGGCAAAAAAACCCTTAGAGAGCTTAGGCCGAAAATCCATCCTCCCTCCTCTCTCCTCAACATCCTTCTTGCTAGCTTGGGTGTGAACCACCAGATGCACGACATTTGTGGTGCTTGCTTCCAAATGATCAAAATGTATGTTTTCCTTCTTTCTTTCTAAATTTCGATTATTTGATGTTCATAGTTATAGATTCAATTAGAGAAAACATAGATCTTTATTAGGGTTGCATGGACACTTAAAAGTTTATTTGTTTTGCATAAAACCCATCAACTTCAATTTTTTAATCACCAATTAGGCCATTTCTTCATAGATTTCCTTGTTTACTTACTTGTTTCATTGTGCACCTTGACCACTCACCACTGTCCACCGGAGGAGTTCGCTGAAAAAAGCTGTCGACAACAACAAATCGCCGGCAGAAGGCAAGGCAGCAGTGTTTATTGCGCAAGGGAGTGGATACGACGAAGGACCAGTTGACCAGAACACGTCGATTTGTTGAATTGCTTCTTTCGTTTTGTTTGCAAATTAATAAAATTAGGTTTCTACCTCTTTGTTTCATTAAACTAGTTTATGTATTGGACTTAAAATGTTTGGACCACTTATTTTGGACTATTTTGTATTTGGATTTATAATTTAGAAATAACCTAATTTTTTTTAAGGTAGCCCAATTTTTTTCTGGGGTAACAATGCAACATAAAACAAAAATTTTTGAAAAAATTTACACTACTAGACAAAATTTGAGGGGCATCCCGGGCTGCCCAAACTCCAATGTGGATCTGACTATAGTATGGTGTGAGCGACATGTTCATGCAATTTGTTGTTGTTCATGCAATTTCTTTTTCTCTCCACATTTTCCTTCTTTTAATTTAATGTTGCCCGAAGAACTTGCCATGAACACCACTTCCTAATGCCTACAAAGAATAATAAGTTCGAGTCGGTGTTGAGATGGAGCCTAGGTGGACCAGGCACAATCACGACCACGTTGTTCAACCTAATGGTACTTATTTACTAGTGGTTTTAAGGCTTTAAGTTTGAGAGAGTTTTGGTTAGAGTTATCGAAATAAATAGACCATAATGATAAATGTTAAATAATTCGGGACCAGTTTTCTCCAAAGATGTTCCTATTAGTTCGAAACACAACTACCCATATACACAGTGGTTTTTATTAACGACCTAACCATTTTTTTCTAATTGTACTTAGCATATTATTATTTGGACCCAATCTTCCAAATCGAAGTTAATTCAAGTAATGAAACTAAACCGCATCAGACAAGTCAAATTTTATCAATCAACTTCTATAGACGATTTGAAATTACTTTTTTATGGTTTCACCTCTTTTATCCGATAACTTAACACAAGGCTCCACTGAATATATTAAAGCATTGAAAATCCTCCATTTACAACAAATATTTATCAAAGTATTTATTATAAAAATTTCCATTCAATATAAAAGATTATGACACTTGAATCCACATATAAAATATTTTCTCATTGGTTTTCTAGACATCATAAGGGTCCTAAATACTTTTAGCCTATCCTCTATGCCTTCATCTTCAAGGCCAAAACCCTTATAGCTGTATCAGTAAAAGGCCTATAGGTTATGATTATCAAATGTGTATGTGAAGAAGGTTACATATGCCTACTTACCAAAAACCATGGGCGGAGAATATTATCTTGCTATGGAAACACATTGCTTGTAAATACACTCTTAGCAATGAATTACAATGACAATATGTAAAATAACGAACTAGATTCAAGTAATTGTGGTGAAGTAAAAGAGTTTTGTGCAAGCTTTGATGATTGTCTATGTCCTGATCACTAGATAAACAATGGAGAGGATAACAATGATACGTTAAAGGTAAAAACATGAACCAATGAGATATATATTCCTGGTGTTGTAAATATATATTAGTTGGTGTTGTGGAACAACTAATAGGTCGAGGAAGATTGTGTGAGCGAAATAATTTTTAAAAAATATATTATGATAAAATAGTCCGATATGACTTTGAAATAGACAAAAGCCACAATAAAACTCTACCATTCAAATATTTTTTTTCTTGCAAAAAAAATATATTTATCAAAACACGATTAAAGAAAATGACTACCAAAATGAATCATTTTCTCAAGTTTACTCAACCCTTTATTAATAAGACTCTCTTTATTTATTTATTTTTTAAATTATTGTATTTGATGAACGATAATAAAAGGCAAAAGAAGGGTGTTTCTTCATCGTCGAAGCCACCATTTGGCAAATCGGAAAGCTCTTGCGACGCCACCACTGTTTCCAGTTAAACCGGAGATTGAAAATGGCATGGATCGGACAATTATCCAAGAATCTGAAAGAGCTCCGAGTTCTCTTTTGTCAAACTTCACCTGCCAGTTCTTCCACAAGGTATCATCAAAATAACATCGCTTCCTCGATCTAAGATTTCATGGAATTTCTACTGCATCGTTTTGCTCTTTCGTCTATCCACATCCATTTTACTGAACTTAATTTTGTTAATTGTGACAGGGCGTTTGTTGAGAAGAATTACAAGGAATTGAAGAAAGCAAACCCTAAGTTGCCTATACTGATCCGCGAGTGCAGCGGCACCGAGCCTCAGCTGTGGGCGAGATACGGTGAGAGAATCCCCTTCGTATTACTTCAATAAATTATATATTTGGCTGTTAAGTTTCAACTAAAACGCCTTATTGATATATCTGCTTTCTGCTTCAATTCGAGGATCTATATATATGTCTCAATAGTGGTGTTGATTTTCGACTCCGTTTTCCAGAAAAAATGAGCTATTGAAATACGATAATCAAACAAATTCTATAACTTTTGGGGAAACTTTTGGTAATAGTAACAGAGTAGATTATTAATTAGGACAGGGTTTTCCTTTGTGTAAGTAAATACACATTAGTTGCATTCTGAAGTTTTGAGGTTTGACATCCAAAATCAGATTTCCATTTTGATTTTCCTTAGTTTACATTTTCAACTATTCTGGGTTTTACTTGATCAAACTCAGAAGAGAGAATTCAAAGAAAGTAGATATGAATAGATCTGTTATATACTTTTGTGTTTCTCTCTTCTTCTATCCATGTAAAAGCTGAAAAGAAGCTTTTACTCCCTACAGTTGAAAGCAATCATCTTTTCTTCTTATGCATTGTCCACAATTATTTTCATCCTTTTCGTGAGCATCATATGCACACGAGCAAATCATTGGTTATCTTCTCTAGTTCCCCTTCACATTTATCATCTCAATTAAGCTACATTTTTATTCTTATTTACACACCACAGTTGTTAAAATTTAACACAGACAATGAAATTATCTAGTTGGACTGCAAATGTGCCAATTAAGCTCTTTAAATCTTTGTTACACGTTCTTTAGCAATGTGATTTCAACATGTTGTTTATTATAGCATCCTACTTTTCTTGCTTCTTATTACATCATTTTACTTTGAAAAATCTACCATGTGAAAATTACAAAATTTATATTTATGAATGAACATTTCCAATTTCACTTGTCATGAAAAGATTTTGATTTTGATTTTTTTTTTTGGTGTGTGTACAGATATGGGAGTTGAGAGGGGTATTCGTTTGGAAGGGATGTCGGAGGATCAAATCTCAAAGGCATTGCAGGATCTTGCAAAAGGTGGGGCGTCCCTTAAATCCTAAACCATTTGTCACTCCATATTTTGCTTCTTTTCAAGATGAATAATCCCGATATCAATGGGTGGTGAATGTCATTTTCTTCTGATTTTAGCAACCCTAAAGTGGATTTTGTAATGCAATATCAACATTTCTAAATTGAAAACCGTGAAATTTGTGTGTTGTTTTATTATGGCTTAAAGTTTGGTTGATTGGTATGATGATCCTTGTGTGTTTAAGGCACTCATGAAGTCGTGATCTCCTTTGTGCACTTGTGCTTGTTGTGTTTGTAATTGGGTTGTACAACAAAACATGACATACAACTTTGTAATCTGTTTGACATGATCTGTAGGGGAAAATATGATTATCTTTTCCATTAAATAAAATGGGACATAGACTCACTCTCAATCTCTTATAATGACCTCATCCTTATTATCATCTAACAACAATTCTGCCTAGTCTAGTATGTTATAACAAATAGGTAGTGTTTGGTTAATCGGAGAAAAATAAAATGAAAAAAAGTCCCATTTGTTTGTTACAAATGAATGGAATTGAAAATTCAATCACATTTTTGTGATATCTTTTCCCGAGAATGTTTCCCCTTATTGATCCATTTGATGCAAGGAATGAAATGATACATTTGCAATTAGTAGTTACTTTTATTAAAATAACCTTTAATACTATTGAAAAAAAAAATCACGACTTCAATTAAATTATTTTTTATTTTAGTAAATAACTATTTATTTATTATAACCATATTTGATGATTATTTCTTTTTCGTTTTGTAGACAATTTCTTTTATATGATAAATAACTAAATATTTGTTTTTGACCATTTAACATACACAACATATTTTTTAAATGAATGAAACATGCGAATATGCTATTTATTTAATGGTATACCATTATCTTTATAAAATAACATGCCTTTATTAATCAATTTAGTTCTATGTAATCTTTCTACTTATACATTAAAACAACATATCTGAATGATACGTTTTATTATTTCGAATAAACCAATGTATAATGAAATGTAATCATGCATTCAATTATTGTATAACTCAATTCAATCATAATAAACCAACACACGGTTAAGTCAATGTGAGTTCCAACTTTCAAGCTTTGACAAACTTGTACTGATATTTCAAAAGTAAAAATTGGTATTTTCTAAAAGAATTCGACTCATGACTTTCGGGAATTTGATTTATTAAGGTAACTAAGTATTTCGTATGTTCACATAGGGGTAATATTGTTTTTTTTGTACTCATTTACCCAACTAATTTGTTTCAGCCATTCACAAATAACGAACATTACCGGCTAACGTAGGTTTTGGCTGATGTGGCATCTACGTGGCTTCTACGTTGTAGTACTCATCACCTACGTGGCATTGTATGTATTTGTCATGGTTTACATTATAAGAAGGGTGAGATACGACTACTTATTAAATAAAACCCTAGATCGATCGATGGCATCTTCTTCCTCATCTTTTTCATCCAAACGACAAGACGAATTGCAACCGGATCATCCATGTGATTGCGACTTGCCATCTCGTGTGAAGACATCAAGAACGCCCGACAATCCTGAGAGGAAATTCAGAGTTTGTCAAACTCACCGGTAAATCATTTTTTTTTTTTTGAATTTTTTTTACTTATTCTTCATCCTTCAATTTAACATGTTTTTATAGATTTATTGAAGAATGGAAAAAGTTCAAGTTGTAAATTTTGGCAATGGTTGGATGAGGATGAATGGATGAAAGATGGAAGACGACATTACATGATGAAACCAGAAGAAAGCTGCAATCTTACTTTGAAATTTTTTTACCTTGGAGAATGAAATCAACATATGCAGGATGAATATCGAACAAGAGAAGAACAACAATAAACAAGAATCGGACAAAGTCAATTGGAAATTGTTTACTCATAGACTTGCATTGATTGTGTTGTTTCTCTTGTATGTCAAAATTTTGTTTTAAATTATGTAATTTATGATGCAGTATGACTAAATTATGTATCCTTTCTGATGTTTTGAATGAAAAAGGTTACATTGGATGATTGTAATGGAATTGTACAAACATTGTAATGGAATTATACAAACATTGTAATGGAATTGTGATTAATTTGGAATTATAAAAGATGATAATAAATTATAAACATTACAAATGGCTAAATTATGTATCATTTCTGATGTTTTGAATGAAAAATGTTACATTGGACGATTGGAATGGAATTGTACAAACATTGGAATGGAGTTATACAAACATTATAATGGAATTATGACTACACTTAGTATTATAAAAGATGGTAATAAATTATAAACATTACAAATGGTATTAGAATATAGATGGTAAAAGATTCTAAGGAACATTGATTTCAAAAGATGTGTCAAAAGTTATACATAACACAGTTATACATTCATTACAACCAAAAGATGTGCAAAAATTTAAACACTACACACTTAAACATGCATTTAAGCTATTCCAACTAGATTTCAAAAGATGTGCCAAAAGATTCCAAAGTTAAAAGATGCCAGTCAAAGATGCCAAAATATTAACAACAGTCCAAGAAGCCAAAAGCTATTCCAACTCATACGGATTGCCACCACTGCTTCCCTGTTTCCCCTCCCACTTCTTTCTTATCTTAAGTTTTGTAATTCTTTCTGAAGGTTTCCTTGCCCTCTGTCCCACTACAACTTGAAAAGCTGGCACTTCCTGCATAATCTCTTCCACTTGATCTTGAACTGCAAGTTGGTTATCATCTTCAACTTGAACTTGTACTTCAGCTTGAACTTCAATATCATCTTCAGGTTGAGCTTGAGCTTGTTCCTGAATAACATCATTTACTTGATCTTCAAATTCAACATCATCTTCAGGTTGAGCTTGGGCTTGTTCCTAAATAACATCATCTACTTGATCTTCAAATTCAACATCATCTTCAGGTTGAGCTTGAGCTTGTTCCTGAATAACATCATCTTCAAATTCAACATCAAAAGATTTCACTTTTGTTGGGTCATTTAATGTGTTGTGTCAAATTTACTATGTATGTAATTAGTCTTTATTATTAACGGATTGGCCCTGTCCATCCGTTAGACTATAAATAGTGCATGCATGTATCGTTCTAGGGTTAATCGTTCAATATTGCCTTACATTGTATTTACAGAAAAGTTCTAATTGAACTCTTCTAAGGTATTGATTATAAAGCATTCGGCACACATTCGATCATTGTTCTTATTGTTTTGATTCACTTTACTGTTACTGAATCTATCAATCTAATAGTTATTGTTTCATCAATTGGTATCAGAGCATGAGATTGTGTAACTCATACACAATTCTTCTGTCGAGTTTTATTAGGGTTTTACGTTTTTGGTGGATCTGTTCTTGTCGTCTTCATCATTTTCATCGATTGTAGACGTTGGATCTGGGTCCTTATTTTGCCTTAGACTCGATTATTGTTTTACATATCAGATTTTTGTGAATCAACATCATGCAACCAGAAGATCCTCATACTCTTTCCTTCAATCTGTCTAACAACATCGTATCCACTACCAGAATCCCAATCCTTTTTCCGCAGGATTATGAGGTCTGGGTGTTGCACTTCGAAGATTACGTTCTTGGCCTTGAAGATCATGGCACCTTAATATGGGAAGCCATGACCCAACAGACGTTTACTCACACTGCTACAAGGAGGATCATTAAGACTCAAGCCGAATACAATGATCTTCTTGTTGACGTTAAAGATATTCCTCAAGATGAAAAAGATAAGCTGATAAGTAACGTCAAGGCAATGGGAATAATCAGGTTCGCTCTTCCTCCAGACACGTTTCGTCTGGTAAGTGCTTGTGATACAGCGAAGGAGATATGGGATAGGTTGAAAGAGCTTTACTCAAGCGATGAAGATCTGGAACACTCAGTTCAAAATTACTTCTTTCAGAATTTGGTGCTTTTGTTCAGAAGTCTGATGAAAAGCTTGATCAGATCCTCCTCTGATTTCTGGATTATAGTTTCGTTTTAGATTTGTAGTTACGAACTAAGAACAAACCATTGTGTGTGTATGCATTTGTTGTGTTCGTAGGTCATTGAACAATGCTCATATGTGTGTGTGAGAGAGAGGGTTTTATTTTTTATTTTTTAGTTATTTAAGTAGATAAAGATAAAAAGAAAAATAAAAAATAAATATTTAAAGGTATTACAGTAATTTCAGTTTTCAGAAGGACTAAAACCACATGGAAACATGGCAAAAAGGACCACAAAGCCTAAAAAGTTGAGGTTTGGATTAAACCTCGGAAAAAATGCATACCACAGAGACCATTTTTGCAGTTTGGTGTTATTATTATTATTATTGTTGTTGTTCTTGTTGTTATTGTTATTATAAGACAAAACTGCAAAAATGGCCCCTGTGGTATGCATTTTTCTGAGGTTTACTTCAAACGTCGATTTTTTTGGCTTCATGATCATTTTTGCCATGTTTCTATGTAGAAATGGTCCCTCCAAAAATTGAAATGACTAAATTGCCCTCTTATATATATATATATATATATATATATATATATATATATATATATATATATATATATATATATGTG